AGACAGCTGCCCGGTTGTCCCTGTCTTGCTTGCTACAGAGCATCGCGGAAGAGGTGGGAAAAGGTCAAGGAACTTGGCTCGAGTCACCATTCATGACAGCTTTTTTTTTTTTTTTTTTTTCCTTTTCTACGACCACTAGCCGTACTTTCCTTCCCCTAATGTCTTTCAAGTGGAGACTCTTGGCCCCTGGTTATGTCCATCTTTTCTGACCGAAACATCCAATCCTTTAGTGAGCATATGCGAGCGGACGAGGGAGAACGTGCCCATAGGCGGCAGACTCTCCACTAACTCGACCCAAGAATCAAAATAACATAGAAAAGAAAACAACAAACCAACGGCGCGGCGGTCGAACCCAGCCAGTAGGCTTTCGGGGTTGCGAGTGGCTTGATGGGCTTGCTAGGCAACACAAGCTAACCTGATCCCCGGCGTCCGCGCGCCGCTCACACCCTTCCTGGAGACCTCCCACACCCCCCCCCCCCCCTTCCCTTCCCTTAGGACCATGACTGCTGAAGCAAGCGCTTGGCTGTCTCCCTCCATGCCCAGTCCAGCTGGCTTGGTATCTGTTGCCAATGCCAATTCTCTCTATCCCACCCGGCTGGCACGACCTCTCTACGGAGTACTATGACTATGTATGCATAGGGCTATGTAGGAGAATCAGAGTCAACTCCGACACTGTCTTCAGAAATCAAAGAGTACGAAAGCGAATAGGCATTGGGAGGCAATAACCCAGGACAGCTTGGCAAGGCAGGCCACTCGAATCCAAGGTGGCACAGACCTGACCCGGGGCGAAATGTGAAATGGGGCGAGTCCATCACAGATTCACCATCCTCGCGCCCAGACTGGACAGGCCGATGATGTGGGCTCCATCAACCTGGACCTCCCAATTTTAATCACGTCAGGCTCTCGTCGGATCGTAATCAGGGCAGTGAGGCTTAGCGGAGTCCGAGTGGGTTCCCGTTAAGTCATGTATGTCCCTGATGTGTCCGCGGGCCCTCCCAAGCAAGCTCCTAGTCCCATGTCTTGCTTGCCAATTGCTCCTTTCCCCCAGACTGATCCCGTTCCCGTTGACCTTACCCCCCGAGAAGCACAAGAGAAGAGAAGCCCGGCCTTTTGTCAATCCGTCTCTTTTCTTGTACACTCCCTCCCCCAGACCTGACCGGCATTCTGATTCCTGTCTGTCAAGTCAGTCCAGGCTCTTGGAAGTCTGTGTTTGGGTGCCACTTGTGCAAAAGCTCCTCCTGTTGGATGACATATCGGTCGATGCTCCTGTGCTACAACTCCTCCTACATGTACTAAGCGGGTCGACTTCTTTTTTCCTTCGATCCCAATACTTCTTCCCTTTACATCACCACCCACATTCGTTTTTCAACCAAAACGTCCGTCCAAGTCTCGAACTGAACTTGGCGGAAGAGAAAAGAGCAGGGAGAGCGAGACGCGCTGGGATTCACTATTGTTCCTGTTTTACCTGCGACCCAGCCTCTTACACGCACTCTGGCTGTCCCTTTGGTTTCGGCACACACACAACGTTTCCGCCCTAGACACGCTATTCACTCGTTCATTCCAGCCGTCGGTTGGTCAACACCGCAATCATGATGGGGGGACACGGAAGACCGCAGCAGGGTCAGGATTACCCCGAGGGGGAAATGGTGGAAATTGATGTTCTTCAAGGACATCATCACCCTCACCAAAATCAATATCAGCCGCCGTATCAGAACAACAACCAGCAGATGCAGCAAAACCAGCAATACCAACAACCTCAGTACCAGGAGCAATACCAGGAGTACTCTCAAAACCCGTATGGTAGCCCGTACCAGAACGAACCGACCCAGTCCCAGGAGCAATTCGGACGCGCCCTGACGAATAACGCACCTTCTCCGTACCAGCAACAGGAAGGGTTCCAGCCGCCGTACAACCAACAACAACAGTACCAGCAGCCTCACGCTGTCTCCGGGGACGAGTTGTACGGACCTCCCGGTTGGGCAAACCGTCACTCGATAGGCATGGCTGGCGCACCTTCAATCGGGCCCTCGATCTCGGGGATGGACACGCCGGTCGAGTCCCGCTCAGCGACGCCTACGTTGAAGAGCGGCGCGAACACGCCGTTTGACCATTTGGCTGCCCCGAGGCATCCATGGTCGACCGACTCCACGCCTAACAGCCCAATGGTATGACAATCCTTGATGAATTCACGATAGTCCCCAAACCGCTGACACTTTGAACAGAACCAGAGCCACCAAAGTTTGCAAAACTTGCTCCCCGGACAGGCCTCACCGGTCCTCGCCAAGGAGTGGGTTGAGGGCAGCGACCAGATTGCGAGACTTCACAAGCGCGACGACTCCGACATCTGGGGCGGCTGGAAGCGCCACGTCTTCCGCATGGTTCCTATTCTCACCATCCTCGCTACCGGAATGTACCTCGTCTACCTCGGCCTCCGTATCTACTGCGTCATCTCTGCTCAACAGCTCGCCAAGGAAATCTACGCCCAGGCCTGGGTCTTCATCGCTGTCGAAATTACTGTTGCCATTCCCTCAATTATGCACAACATCTGGACCATGTGGTCCATGAAGAAGCGTCAGCGCCCTAAGTTGAGACTTATGGGCGAGGATGTTCCCACCGTCGATGTTCTGCTCACTTGCTGCGGTGAAGAGGATGATTTGGTTCTTGACACCGCCCGCGCTGCCTGCGACGTCGATTACCCCCGCGACCGGTTCCGCGTCATTATCTGCGATGACGGCAAATCCGAGGGCCTGGAGAGCGGTATCGCAGCCTTGGCCATGACTTACCCCAATGTTCACTACCTCTGCCGCCCCAAGTACCCCGGTGTGCCTCACCATTTCAAGGCCGGTAACCTGAACTACGCCCTCGACTTTGTCCACACGATGCCCGGCGGCGCTGGTCAGTTTATGGCTGCTCTCGACGCTGATATGGTACGTTCAAACCAGCCACAGCTCACTATACCCTTCAATGATGACCCCGTCTCCCGCGATTTTAAGGTTTCGCCCAATGTTCAACCTCAGCTAACTCTGAACCTGCAGATCCCCGAGCGCGACTGGCTCCGTGCCATTCTGCCTCACATGCTCATTGACCCCAAGGTGGCCCTCGCCTGCCCCCCGCAGCTGTTCTACAACACCCCGCCATCCGATCCTCTCGCCCAGTCCCTGGACTTCTTCGTTCACGTCATTGAGCCCATCAAGGACGCCCTCGGCGTGGCCTGGTGCACCGGTTCCGGCTACTGCGTACGTCGTGAGGCTCTTGATGAGATAGGAAACTTCCCCCTCGGCTCCTTGGCTGAGGATGTTGCTACTTCTACTTTGATGCTTGGAAAGGGCTGGAAGACGGCCTACATCCACGAGCCTCTCCAGTTTGGCACCGTCCCCGAGGATTATGGCGGCCATCTCAAGCAGCGTACCCGCTGGGCTATTGGTACCGTCGACACGTCGTTCAAGCTCAACTTCTGCTTGTACGGTGAGAAGGTCAAGCAGATGACGGTCGCGCAGCGTTTTTCCGGCTTCCTCTACGCTACACTCAGTCTGTACACGATTCTCCTGACCCTCTCCATGTTCGCCATCCCGATTATCCTGGTCATGGGCAAGCCCCTGGTCGCCTACGCCAACTATGAGCAGCTCCGCTGGCTCATCCGCGCCTGTTTTGCCGCCACGCTCACCAACCGTTTGTGCGAGTTTGCTCTCTTCATCCCCGCGGGCTACCACACCGGCCAGCGCGGTTCTCGTTACCAGCTTTGGATGTCTCCGTACATCGCGCTTTGCATCATCCGCTCATTCATCCTCCCCACCTGGCTCGGTGGTCAGACGCAGGCCTTCAAACCCACCGGATCCCTCGGCTCCGCCCTCAATGAGCGCGATCCCAAGACCCGCAAGGGCATGTTCCGCCGTCTTTGGGGTATCCTCTTCAACTACATGGCAATCTTCCACCTGGCTTTCGTCTACCTCACCCTTGTCGGCGTGGTTCTCACCTCGTACCGCTGCTTCTACGTCAACGATGAGCTCCGCGATATCCTGATGTGCCTCATCACCCACGCCTTCTGGCCGCCCCTGACTTTCATCTTCATCTGCAGCTCGCTCTGGACGCCTATCGCCTACGCCATTGACCCGCCGAACATGCCGGACCGCGAGCAGCTCCTCGAGCGCGACCCCAAGACCTTTGTCGCCCACCCGACACCTCAGAGCAAGAAGATTGCCTTTGGCGGCCAGGCTGCGTGGTTCGAGACCGAGTTGACCGTCACCTCGGCCTACACGATCCTCGTCTTCGTCCTCTCCTTCATCTACTAGATTGCTTCAAATCAACTCATAGCATCGTTGTTTTATCACACACACATAACGCGCGGGACAGGCGGCGCCTACGGGACGCGCTTAACATTTGCACACGGCACAATGTGCGCGTATCACAGACGTACAAAACCAAAGATGACTGTTACGATAATGTAATGCCTGTAACTACTGCACATAGATCAGTATAGAATTACGCAACAATAAGGGGGGCGCGGAATATGTCATCATCATCATCATCCCCTGCTGGAAGGGAAATCAGGGTCAACAAACATTATACATATTTCTCATCATGTTCGAAATCAGAATACATAAAAACATTCATAAAAAGCTTCTCCACAAGTTCCAAATGCCTCAAAAAACTATAGAATGCGTAAACCAAATTCGGACTCTTGGCATGATCTGCCATTGGTTTCAGAGGCGCTACTCTTTTTCCTGCGCGAAGGAGAATCATCCCTCGGGAAAAACACACAAGTGTCCAGTTTTCCAATGAATTGGTCCGAGCTATCAAAAGCCTACATACACTATACAGTCTGGCTGCATGTGTGCAAACTTGTGCCTGAGCTTGTCCAGCTTTGCCTACGTGTGGCGTGCGGGAAGGCTGGCTGCTAAGACAAGCTGCCACTAGCCGAGCCTCTCATTCGTCATGGACACCAGTTCGTCGTCGTGCTAAAAGCTCGCGCCTCGTTGAATGTCTCGCTGAAGTCGCTGCGAATGTGCCCTCAGTTGGTGCTAGTCTGCACTCAGGAATGCGGACAAAACGCCGAATCGACTCAATGGCACGGTGAGGTGCCAATTTGCACAATGGTGGCTCAGCACAGCCCGTTTGCCTTTCCTTCTGTCATCGATTATCTCGCCGATGTTTCTCTTTGCAGCGGTTGTCGCGCAAGAAGCATCACAATGGGATTGGCATGGTCACATCAGGTTGCCATGCTACGAGTCACTTATCCAGGAAACGACCAGCCACCTGCAGACCGTTACTGTGTATCACGAAAAGAAAAACAGGCTTGGCTGATGTCGTTCTATGATCTGCCCGGCTATCATGCCGTGTAATGGTTGCACCGTATCCGTATCGCTTGTTGCAGTAACAACCGCGGCTCCCATCCGGACGCGAAAAGCCACTCGCCAACATCGGATTCGGACCTCCCCCTCTCTATGCAGACTCTAACAGACTTGCAGTTCGAATCCCGACTCCCAAGCTCCCGAGCCTCCCTCCCTTCCTCTCCCTTATCACACTACAGGCTTACGTTCGGCTTTGCCGTGCAGTGGGCAGCCGGGTGCCAGGTGGGGTTCTCCCCCAGCAGTGCAACCCCTCCCCCGGTGCCCGGCACCGCTCCGCGGGCATGAGTATTGGATAATGAGACTCAGAGAGTGTGGAAAAGAAACAACACGGTGCAGATTGCAAAATAAGCTGACAGCCTGGCATTCCATTCCCCATCTGCCGCTCTCGCTGTTCAATTTAATTGAAATAATCCTCCACGTCCCCCTCTCCGACTACCCCCAGTCCACGTCGTCCTCGGTCCTACGACGCAACGTGTGCACCCAGGTGTCAAGTATCCGTCACCCTCTGCTTTGTCCGACCGACTCCTCCTTTCATCTTCCACAAGATCTTCCGCTGCGTTTCTGCTGTGCCTGCCCAACCGAGTCAACCGGCTGCAGCTCTTGGGACTTTGGACTCTGCGAGTCTCGGAAAGGCCATGTCAGGATTGTCGCCAAGACACAAGTGCCAAGTATTTTCAGACGAACGACGGCCAAGGAAATTGACTTTTGCTAGACCGCAAAGAGGCACCCACCAAGCCTGATGTTGCCCGCCAACGGCGCCAAGGGGGTGTGAGAGGAGAAGAGCCCGCCTGGCGCCACCCCTGAATCGTTAAGGTTTTCCAGGGGCCTGCATCCAGGTTTTTCGTCCGTCAAGTCTTCGATTTGCAGTTGCCAGTTGCCACTGAGTCCAGCCATTGCTGGCTTTGCGTTCATCTGCATATGGGCAATGGCGTGTGCCTACTACAGGAGATACCATCGCGCTGCAGCTCTCGGTGAACTTGCGGCCCTTCGGTTTGCATCTTTTGGAAATGGAAAAACGAGAATAATCTATTTTTAGCCAGTGAATAGCTAGACTGATCGTACGGACTAGATGTGCTTGTCGCACCACGCGGGCAGCCATCCCCGGATCAACGACTGGTGGTGAAAAGTCCCCAACCACTCTGTCGATCACATGTCACCCGACTCCTCACATCTCAGCCAACCGTTGCTGACGAGATTGCTTTTATCGACGCTCGTCTCATCCAGAGTGGCATCAGATGAGCTAATCCAGCAGCAAAACCTCACCGACTGAACAGTTCGCCGATCTCTGGAGCCGCAATCATAAATCCCCGTCTTGCTTGTTCACTCGTTCATTGGGGCGGGGAGCCGTGGGTGCCGTAGGAACCTGGCAGGGGACTCTCCATCGTGCCAATCCGGCAACGTCGGACCCCGGACGCCGGGGCAACAACTCTCTCCGGAACAACGACGATCCAATGATGCAGAAGTCTCCGGCACGGCAGGCCCACGTCGCAGCTCGCAGACGGATGTAGGGTGACGGACGCTTGCTGGTTTCTCGCGTCGATGAAGGGAAAATCGACTATTGATATCCGTTCGCAATATGGAAAGGTCATAAATTTCAGTGTTGCCATGCATAAAACTAGCTGCTCATTTCCATAGATATCGTGCATCAATCTCCGTAGATTCGGATTCGAAATCCAAGTTATCTGCCGTTCAGAGTTCTACAATCTTCCCAGCAAGTCCAACTGATTCTCTTCCTGCCTGGTTGCAATTCCTAAGTCGCAAGCATCCGCCGCGTCATATGTCCTCTGCATTTCCTTCCATCCTAGGGAGCGTAATTTGATCCTCGGCTCCGACGCCCATACTGAAGCATGACGGGATGTCTACTGCCCCCAAGTTCATGTTGTCCTGCGGTACTGAGAAGGTAAAGTCGCCCATTAAACCTGCATCAAACATCTCAGCTGTTCCATCCCAACCGAAACTGTCTACGGGGAGCTCACCGAGGCTCGTGGTATTCAAGCCGGTGAGTTCCAACCTGCTACCAACCCGTGTTCCAGTACCTGTCGTAGCTGGTGGTGCGCTCGTGGGTGGGCTCAGCACGCCTCTGGAGGCTAATAAGTTCGACAGCAATGGACCGAATGTATGGGCTGTCGCAGGGTTGGCTGAGCTATTGTACGATCCCAACACAATAGCACTGTCTACTGAAGAAGCAGCAGCTGGCGTCCCGAGACTGCTGGCGTGAATGTTGCTGTATGGAGTCTGGGGCAAGGAAGGCGCTGAGTGTGGTGCCTGTGGAATGACAGATCGGCTCGACGTCCAATCTTGTCGCAGCCTGTAAAGTACATCACTAATGACTCCTTGTACAAGTTGTCTTTCTTCCTCTGTTGTAAGACCCGGAATAAATCCGCGCGACTCCAACGCTTCGTGAAGGGCCGGTCCCGCTCGGGAATCTAGATGCTCTTGGAAGGCTGCAAGATCTTCGGAAATCTCATGATCCATATATGCAGATCGAGGCCTATGCTTCCCGGGAAAAATGATTTCCCACATTGCGAACCACTGACATTCATCTGACGTTGAAGGGGTTGACCTTTGATGAAGCCTCCTGCTCTGTTCGTGTGAAATCCCATTCAGTGTATCTGAGTCGGAGCGGGAACATGTCCAGCCTCCCTCGGCAGAAACATGCTCACGAAGGGCATTGTCGTTTGTGAAGAGCCTCAGACATCGCTGACAATAGTGTTTGGGTGTGTGACACCTGTTTAGGTGTTGTTTGACGTCGCGAACTCTTTTGAGTTTTCGCCTGGAACATTCATGGTAACTGATGGGATCCGACTTCCAGAAGGGGCAAGCCAGCAAAACTTCATGCTTTCTTTCTTGACGTTGTCTCTTAGCGACCACTTGCTCTGATCCAGGTTGGTCTTCAGCTTTGCGTTTCTCCCTGCCAAACTGCTGCCCGCTGCTTGAAGGTGGACCCTGTATTCGGGTACTTGCCGACAAGAAGGCCGAAGCAGGACCGTCTGCACTCCCTGCAGTACCTCCACGAGTTTGGGGTTGGCACTCATTGAAAAGAGTGTCTCCGACATTTTTGAGAACAATGTACAAGGGATCGTCTTTCGAGAGAGGAGTAATGTTAACCTCGTCTGACACCTCTGACATCGACAAGAAGTCAGAGTCGTACGACAGACTATCTGATTCATCGGCCAGATCATCGTGGCGACTTGCACTGTCTCGACGACATTCTTCTGGAGTGAGATTTGAGAGGGATGGTGTATCTTCGTGCCCCGTACTAGTTGGATGTGATGTGCGTCGCGTTGTTCTCAAACGCTGATTGCATCTTGCAAAAACTCTGCCCCTGGCCTTGGGGGCCCACGAAGCCAATAAGTCGCCAGAACTTGGTGTCAGTCTGGATTCATCGTCTTGAAGACACAGGCCTAGGCAAGGCTCACAATTAGAACCAAGTAGCCGAAGATGTATGTTGAACGCCTACCTGGTATTATCGCTGTGCGGTCAACAAAATCTAGGATATGGCGGCCGACCATGAAACTGAGCTCCCAACCCAAGTTTTCTTCTTCATCTTTCTTCAAGTCGCCCACGGAAGAACAACTTGGGTTCCTTCCACTCGAAGCGTCCTGCCAGAGATGAATGCCTTTGCTGGCATCATACTGCGTCAAAATAATGGTTCTGCAGGTTCCATCTAAGATCATTCGTCCGTCTCGATTTGAAAAAGTGCATTCTCCAATGAAGTCTCGAAGAGTCTTCCACGAGACCTCCATTCCATGAAAACTCACTGGACGTCTCAAGATAGGAAACCCTGCAACAATAACAAAACTTTCGTGCAAGACTTGCTCCCATCGTGATGCTTGTGAAGACGAATAGTCTATGATCTCTTCCCGTGCCGTGATATCGAAGCTTACCACGTCTGTTCCGGGGTCGTGGTATCTCGCCTCATCGGCACTTTCATGATGAATGCAAGGAGTCCGGTTGGATACGTTGCCGTCAAGAGGGCGGGGAATAGCCGCAGAGAGCCACGCAAGTTGTTCGCCATACTCGGCAATCAAGTAGGAGGACCCCTTTACGGTGATGACCAAGTCCTTGCCTTCAAGCCTAGCTCCCAGAAACGTACTAGGGTCATCTTGCACGGCAACTAAGAAGAGTTAAGTTGCAGGGTTAAGTCTCCATCAATATACATTATTGAAAGGCTAAAAACGAATCCACGTCCCAGTGTGAGTTTTGTCAGAAACATAATCTCCCGATCCATTGATGACTGGGTGAATCTGTAGCACGTCGTACAAACTATTCCAACTCGATGGCCACACTTGCTCCAAGTAATTCGTAATCGTAGTTGCTTGACTTTCTTCTGTGCAGTAGGCAACAATGAGAGACTCTGAAATCGATTGAGGGGCGAGCACCTCAGCTTCGTAATTTGCTGGATGCCATACAGACGCAGGAGTGAACGGCCATCCAAGAAGCCGAAATCTGACTTGATGAATCTTTGGTGAATGCTTCTTGCTGATTCTGCCCGTTGGAAGACACTCGAGTATCTTCTGTCGGATCTCTTTTCGTACGTTATTGTTCTTAGAGTTGTCTTGGTCCCACTGCAAGATCATTTCATTATTCAGACGTGCGACCAGACACTTGAATGGATTGCCCTTCAACACAATATCGCGGTATTCCGATATTGGGACAGGCCCCAAAGCGTCCTCTTCTGTATCTTCAATCCCCTGGAATCGATCCTGCTGGGGCGGTGAAGGACATGACACGCCCACCTTGCTGTTCCAAAGGCTAATCTTATCCTCTACAGACATGCCAGCTACACTTTCACGTGAAGCGTCGATAATCAACTCATCCGACATAGACACAAGCCGTGACCCGATTTGACTACATTGTTTAGTGCATTATCCAAGTATCTATGAGTGCTAACGGCATATGTAAACGAATTCACTCACCGGCCGCGTTTATGTATGAAGTACATGATGCTTTTGTGGTTCTGGGACGTTGAATCGAGTCCAACTTGAATTGCAAAGGCCTTGATCAATTCTGGAAGTATCGACTGCACCGATTGCCAAGCCTTGATGTCTGAACGATGGAATAATTGTTGGCGAATGTCGCTGGCTAATTCGGCAACGTATTGATCCGCTGGGCCTCTACCGACGGTACTTGCTGCAGAATATGAAGTCTTCGCGTCGAAGTCCTTTCTGATAGTCCTACTTGGTGTAGAAGAGCCTCCTGTTATGCCCCAGGGATGGTAATTGAGGAAGGAATCACGATGACGGAACGATTCATAGCCGGAATCAGTAGGGGGAGGATTCTGACAGGGATCCTCTGCAACGGCAGCGAGCGGCCACGTAGAAGAAACCGAATGTAGCTGTGCCTCCATGTTATCGTTCACGTTTTGAAGATATCCTGGTGCATTGAAAGCAACATCTGTCAAGGAGAGGTCTCGCTGGTTTGTATACGGGAACTGTTCAGAGAACTGACCGAGAGGCTCGCAGGAATGAGGCGGAGAAAAGCTTCTCGACCGACTGCACAATAGCTGCGTTCGAACAGGGTAGGTGTTCTCTCCGTCAACTCCATAGTCGAAATGATCTGTGAGCGAGCTCTCAACAGCGTGGAAAGGTGATGGGGATAGTCCACTTCTGTAGTCTCCAATAGGGCCTGTCTCCAAGATACCGGATGGTCCAGATGGTGTGAGGTTGCTGTTTGAATTATGAGAGGAATCAGATGGAACCACATCGTGCAATAGAAAATTCTTTGGGCCTGCCATCAGCTGAAATCTCTCATTATAGACGTTTTCAACGAGCATATCCTTGGAAAAGAGCTCTGGTCCAAATGGAAGCGAGGTTGAAATTTCATCTGGGGAGATGAAGTATTCCGTAGCCCTCATGCTGGAGGTAAAGGGTGCACTGCTAGAACGGCTCAGTGTATAATACATGGATTCACCAAAAAGGTCTCGAAGATGTTGAAAAGCTGACCGAATGTCTCCTTCGGTGCCCCTTCTACTTGTCAAGTCGAACTTTGGCCTGGACTGCTGTTGAAAATCGTCACAGCGTTGAGATCCGCTAGCTTCAGGGTCATCCGCGTACCGAACTGTCGTTGTAGGAGAAGACATCTGGTCATTCTTTGGCAAAGGTTCGATGGGTGAAGCAACGGGACCAAAGCCACATAACGCAAAGGTGGGAATTCGAGTCGGGGTCCTGGAACGCTGTTCAATGTCGCAGTACAGTGGAGTCGAAAGTCCTTCCATAATTCTGGAGCGAATCTATGCGGCACGTCAAATATGAGTCGTAGAAGTTGATTGCTGAGGCTTAATTGCGAGATCTGAGTCCTGGAGTCGTGAGCCCGGCTTCAAGTCGCAACCATTTTCACAGGCGGCCTGCGATTGAGAAATGTGTGAGAAACATAGAGACAGGGAATAAGAGGACTAGAAAGTCGGTAAAAGGTTAGGGGTGGGCCGGGAATGTAATTCTTGCCAAGTCAGGCTGTGGTCTGGCGGCGCGAGGTCGAAGGCACAGCTGTGCTTTGCGACGCCATTCGCTAGACAATATCTCAAGACTCCCTTGATTGATCAACCAATCATCGCGAGAGGCACAGCTGTGGTTTCCTGTGCCCTATACACTGAAAGTGTCGTCCGTTATCGTATTATGAGAAGGAGACTAGTTGCATCGCTGTGCTGAGATGAAGTTTGAGGTCGCCGACAATGGCCTCGTCGAAGGCTCATGAGCACAATAGTTGGCTTTGAGATTAGAGAGTCGAACAAAGGACTACAAAATGCTAACAGATGCTGAGAAGAACGCCAACAGTAACGAATTGATCTTTCTTTCTTACTAACTTCCGACCGTCGTAAAGTGAATCTTCGATCTAAGATCCCTTGGTGTCAATCCATTATCAACATACCCCCCATATACCCCATATACTATTTATCATGTCTACTGGATCATACATATCAAAATTGTCCACCGGTAGCAATGGGTAACGTGCCAAGCTTCGAGACCATGATTCAGCTAACATGATTGGCGAAGCAAAAAGGAGGGGCCGTCCGTTATGCTTGACGAATTACTTGGGGGTCCTCTGAACATCACAGAAAGAATGCACCAAAACATTTGGAATGGTAGAAGATCTACCCCTTCTAGCAAGATAAAGGAGACATCACAGTATCTTCTTGAATGGCAAGCCTCTTGGGACGTAATGTCACAAACTACGTTAGTGCAGAAGTCAGCCAAAGAATGAATCGGGTAATGTAAATGGTAGCATCGCAATGTTAGATGTATATTTCTGTTACTGACACGTAATGCAGACTTATTTTCTTCCCAGGGTCGAGTACTTATAAGGCATGGTGGATGGAACCAGACATTAGGATCCGTACCGATGATATCGTCGATGCTTACCATCAGTCATCGAATTTTGTTTCGAGAACAAGCACAGGAGTAATACTAGTGAAATTGATTCGTTGTTTTTGGGAAAGAAAATGGTTGAGTGGTTTACATACCTTAAGTCGATGGACGCATATGCGTTTGTGCTGTCGCAGCATTGTACCTTCATGATAAAGTATTAGTTCTTATAATGTCTCGACAACCACTAAGAGTACTATCTGTGACTCGTGCCCGTCCTCGAGGACCCCGTTCGAGCGCGCTGATACCCCTTTTTCCAGTTTACAAAAGTCATGAAGAAACTCTGAGATGACGTAGATAGCAATAATTACATGAATGCTTAGTTGCTAAGGAAATTGAGTCGTCGGGTTTGTTGCTAGCCGCAGTAAACTATTCATTATGACTACCTAGTCGACCAAATGAGATTCTTCATTCAGGAACGTAATAGTGTTCTCGATTTCCCACCGCTTTGTATGTACCAGTGAAGAGGGGAGGTGACTGAACATGCCGAGTAATGATCAAAATCTTTACGACGGCTTCTACTTGCACGTCCAAATTCCGCGGTGGTCTACTTAAAGCGGGCTTCCCACTCATAGAAGCATAAATCTAGTACATTATGTTGAGAAACTGAGGTGGTCTGGGTATCAATTGAGGATCCTTGATGGCAAGCACTCGGGGAGAAGAGATCGTCAGGGGATGGTCATTTCCCGATTCGCTCGTAGTCTGTGGGGTAGATAGATCCGATCGATGATGACCCGATGACATCTCGACGCCAGTCCGAGCGCCAATTCATCCCCCTTACCCCTTGATAAGATGTGAGTGAACAAGGTGCATACAAGCATCTGCTCATTGCAAGTCAATCAAAGCTCAAACGTGAAGAAATTCAGTGGTGAATAGGATTACCACATATCAACAAAGACCGCGGTTCGTCCCGAGTCCAAACGTCATGTTTCTACTTTTGTCATCAGACCAACTCCCCCTACCAAAGCCCCTTAGCTCAACCGTTACACATTTCAACGCCCTACCTTACCCCATAGATCGTCGAAACCGTGGCTTTTTCCTCTCTAACCCAGAGTAGTCCAAAAAAATTACCAGTGCGGGACATTTCTTATTTCACGCCAGAATAAAGGCATCATAGATGTTTACGCCAGTGATGTCACCAATCACCGCGTCATTGGGGGCCTATGCTCGTTCTCCCTCGCAGCATCCACGAGGATTCGACAAAACCTTTGCATTCTGCTCCATCGTTGGTGTTCAATTGGGCTTACAAGACAGAAAGAGAAACTCTACGACAATCATCGAGACCAATTTTAGCACCGGGCGAGACTCAAACACCACGACTTCCACCATTCACGCACCACCTTAACCACAGTCGGACCACCATTTCGAGCTCCCTCCCACCCAACCATCAACATGAAGAAACCCGAAATCACCGAAACCAAAACCACAACAAACTCCAAAGACGAACACTGGAAAACCCAAGCCCCCTACATCGCCCCAGGGAAATCCCACCCCCACGGCGAGGCCTTCCACAAGAAAATCCGTGGCGCCTGCCAGTGCGGCCAAGTAACCTATTGGCTCTCAAAAGATGAGCCCCTAGCATCAAAGTTCTGCCACTGCAGAGATTGCCAAAAGATGCACGGCGCGCCCTTCCAGTGGGCCGCCATCTTCCATAAAGAAGACCTGGCGTTCGATAACGGGGTTGATGGGTTGACCTTCTACTCGTCGGGGAAGAATTTGCAGGGCCACGATTTGCCTTGTAAAGTGAGCTGCGGGTTCTGCGGGAGTCGAATCATGGATGAGGGCAGGAACATGGTATTATTGTTCCCTGGGCTGCTGAATTTTGATGGGGAAGAGAAGAGGAAGAAGTTTGATGTTCAGTGAGTACTTCCTTCGTTGTCAAGGTGAACGCTTGGCTGAAAGCCGTGATGCTAATCGCTGAGTAGGAAGCACATCTTTTACGGGCAGAGGGTCGTTGATCTTCCCGATGGAAAGCCCAAGTGGAGCGGCCTAGATGAGAAGAGCGAGCTAATGGAGGAAGAGGTTGTAGATGTGAAGCACAAGAAGCGGAAGACGGAGCATACCAATGGCGACTAATATGTCGAGCCTCTAGATGAAATGTATTTGTGTAATATGTAAATCAGTAAATCCAAACGCTTGACGCCATCTTATGCTCGTGATAATGCTCTATACCCAAAATAACAATCTAAATCGTCTCAAGATCCCTCATCGCTTACCAGTTGAAGCTTTCTTGGAAGTATTCAATTCTAGACCACCCACGGCCAAGCATTTCAACGACTGACTTTCGAGCATCGTCGGCCATAACAGCAGGCCCACACGCAATGACGGCAAGACTCGCCTTATCAGCTGCGGTGGCCGCGTCCTGTACCTCTTCACGAACTTCGGGACGCCCGTGAAGTAAACGAACCTGCTCCGGCCACTCCTCTGGCCGCGCAGCATTCGATGCGAGACTGTGTTGTGTAACATAAATATCGACCGACAACTTCCCACAATCAAAGGCGTCTTCAAAGTCATGCCGTAGCACATCCACCGCGAAGCTCAGTTCGCGGACTGCCCAGACGATCTTAATCGACCGAGTCTTTGAAGATGCCTTGGTGAGCTCTGCGAGGTGGGCGAGCGGCACCACAATACCACTGCCTCCAACGATGAAAAGGAGGTCATCGAACTGGTTGAAGGGCTGCTTGTGGCCGTAGGGACCTTCCACGAGGACGCGGAGGCGTGCAGGGCGGGGCCACTGCGCTGCTGCATCCTCACGTAGGCGACCGGTAAAGCTGTCGTACGGGCGGATGAGGAACGTCATTGATGGCTCGCCTCTCCTCGGCTCGTACCCAACCTCAGAGATAGGTTCTATATCATGCTCTCCCGCTACGAGTAGGGGAGTCTGCTCGCTAGATGACTTTCTTCTAACGTTCATGTTTGTCGTTGTGCAGGCCATTGTGAATGGGTGGCTTTCCCAAAATCGCTTGTCGCTGAGGACATGGAGGTAATAGTAGGTGCCAGCCTTGGGCTCGTAGAAGCTAGTCGAGTATGGGACATTGATGCGGACGATGTTCGAGTTCGCGTCATACGTGGCGAGGGCGAACGTATTCCAGAACTTGAGGTTGAAGGACAGCGTCCGCGACATGCGTAGAATACGATCGCCAATCCAAATGAGGCAAGGTACCCAGAAGAGAATGTCAAACTGCCCAAGGAAGATGGAGACGTGGCTAGAGTTCATGAGTACTGGGAAGTCAAGAGAGAAGAATGTCGAAACTTACCCAAGCATGGTGATGAGGACAAGAATCGACAGTAAAATGTGAAGAATGAGGAAGAGCTCGTATTGCTTTCGTCGCATCCAAAAGACGGAGGCAAAGAGCAAGGCGCACATGCCAACGGTAGCCTTTGGTTTGAGGTCAGCATATGCTACTGAAAGCCCAAGAGGGCATTACTCACAAACCATCCTTCAATCCACCACATCTGGTGCCAATACGACATCCAGTAATTCCAATCGCCGTCTGAAAAAAGTTAGCTTTGAACTTCGTAAGAGGTGGTGTGCGTCCTACCGTCAAAGACCAGAACAACGTAGCCGACGGAGTGGATGACAGCTTGGAGCGTCGAGACGCGGGCAACCCAACGGTGGAAGTTGTTGTACGTCCCAAAGTCCCAGCCGGTCAGCCACATGAGAAGGTTGTTCCTCATGCCAAATAGCCAGATGATGGGGAAGTTGGCGAAAGAGATGATGCCGGTTCTATCGGCTACATAGCGCCAGACCAAATGGTATTTCTGCGGCCAACTAGGGGGGCGTGAGCTAGTGAGGTAAGGCGAAGAGTAGAGCAAGCTACACTTACTACATGTGACCGGAGAAGATCCAGTACCC